ACTAGTTGGGAGGCTGAGGCAAGAGAATCATTTAAGCCCAGGAGTTGGAGGTTGCTGTGAGCTGTGATGCCATGGCACTCTACCCAGGGTAACAGATGAGGCTCTGTCTCAAAAAAAAAAAAAAAAGCCTTCAAAGTCCATCTTGATGATCCCAGGTACTCTCAGCACTCTACAACAATGCCCCCAAAATAACGGCCTTAGCTTTCCCATTGGGTAGATGCAGAACCTGGGGTTGAGCAGTCACATGAATCACCAGGGATCTTATTAAAATGAAGGTTCTATTCAGCAGGTCTTTTGAACAGTGAGGTGTTAGCCAGCATAGGTCAGAGAGCAGCACAGGAACCTTGTTTTCTGACCTCCTGGCCTAATGTGGCAAAGAAGCCCTAGCCTGCAGCTTACTAGGTGTCTGGAAATGACTCAGGTACTCTGTCCTCAAGACTACAAGCACTGAGAAACTATGTCTGATTCATCTCTGTGTCCTTAAGCCTAAGAGAATTCTGTCAGGGATCAGCCTATTTGCTGGCTCATGACTAAGAACATTCATTGAGCAGAAATAAAAGGAGGCCCAGCACTCTGGGAGTCCAAGGCCGGTGGACTGCTTGAGCTCAGGAGTTCGAGATCAGACTAAGCAACAGCAAGACTCTGTCTGTACTAAAAACACCTGCATAAGGGCCAAGTCCTTCTCCCGGCAGCCAGCATTGGACACCACATACAAGTGCCCTTCGGAAGCATTGGTCACAATCAAGTCGTCTAAGATGCCTCCAGCCTCATTGGTAAACAGTGACAGTGTCCCCTAGAACCAAAATGAAGTATTTACCCCCAGGTCAAAAGGCCAAGGTCAAGAGTGAGCCTAATTTAGTCCTAGACACATTTAGCCAACACAAACTTATGAACCTTCATGATAAGGGATCAGCATTTTCAAGGTGCAAGGCTGAGCCCAAGACAAGGGGATGAAAACTTCCTCAAGAACTGAGCAAGTTTTCAACCCCTCCCCACCTTAGGAGGCCTCCCTAATCTGGGTGGCCTCAATACTAAACTATGACACGTAGGACCTGCTGCTTCATGCCACCTAGACGTAAGGCAATTAGGTCCTTGCCGCAAACACTAGGACAAAAGCTTCAAAGTCAGCTCAGTGCCTGTAGCACAAGCGGCTAAGGCGCCAGCCACATACACCAGAGCTGGTAGGTTTGAATCAGCCCAGACCTGCCAAACAACAATGACAACTATAACCAAAAAATACCTGGGCATGGCTGGCGCCTGTGGCTCAAAGGAGTAAGGCGCCGGCCATATATGCTGGAGGTGGAGGTAGCAGGTTCAAACCCAGCCCCAGCCAAAAACTACAAAAAAGAAAAAAAAAATACCCAGACATTGTGGCGGGTGCCTGTAGTCCCAACTAGTTGGGAGGCTGAGGCAAGAGAATCATTTAAGCCCAGGAGTTGGAGGTTGCTGTGAGCTGTGATGCCATGG